AAAGTGGCTTTTTAAATGATTGGAACATTTTGACTTTACATTTTTCTACCATAATTATAATTAATTATGTATCGGTAAACATAATAAAAGGTTAACATTTTGGGTATTCACATTAATAGAAATTTAATACGAGTAATCATCATTATATATATTAGTAGAAAATCATGTTCAAAATAATATATATGAGTAAAGCAAAAATATCAATATTGCAATTATATATTAAAGAATGGAAGAAGTATAAAAGTAACGAGTAGTTCAATTTTGGTTCGATTTATCTTTCATATTTTAAAAGCATAGCTTATTCGGATAAGTTTACTTCAATTCGATTTTGATATTTTTGGAGGGGTTTTGATTTTTTTTGTTGAATAAAAATAGTAATTGAAAAAAAACTACATTAAACAATGGTTATGATATTTTTTATTGAATTAAAACTTTATGATATGATATGATATGATCTGATAAATGTCTGATCTCTATGCATTTTAGAAAGTCTGGTCTAATTTGGACTGGTCTAGTTTGAGTCAGAAATAAGTCAAAGTAAAAATATTTTTAGTAGTGACATAATACTCCCTCCGTCTCGTAATTAAGTTCCTATTTTCCTTTTTGGGATGGTCCATATTAAAGTTCCTACTTCAAACATTTCCTTATTTGGCAAATGATTTACACCAAAACAGTGTCAAACAGTGTTCAAACAGTGTCCAAACAGTGCACTCCACAGTAAAGTACAAAATATAATTAAAAAAGAGAGAAGAAAGAATCGTGCTTCCAGGTAGTGAATAGAGAGTGTATGCCTATTTAAATATTTTTAAAATGATTAAACACATAGGCACGAGCAATTCATAAATTAAACACCGGTTGTTCTATGTATATTGATTACCTATCGGTCTAGAGGTGAAAAGATCGGAGAAAATGGATCAATCAGACCCAGTGGATCGGAAGAGTTCGCTTTGAACTTGGATGAACTGAAACAGTTACAAGGGACCGCGAAGAGGCCGTGCGTTCTCCCTCTCATTTCCTCTGAAGCTCGCAAGTTGTAAAAGCTATCCAATGATGCGAGCTTGCACTCTCGAGTACCAATCTCGATTTAAACTGCGCCAAAAGTCGTCCTTGACCCAGCATTTAGTTATGCAATAGTTTCAACCTTTAGCTGAGATCAGGATAGTGACAAAGTGAAAATTATCTCTCTCTAGAAGGAGTTGGCAAGGAGAACATAGATGCTGGCTTCAAACCAATGTATGTTGATGTCATGTTTAATGGTGTGCGAGGAAAGAACTATCGTTTCTCTTTAGGAAAGTTAAACAAGGAGAATAAAGGGGCGGATGCACACTAGTGATATGGGGGGCAGCTGCCCCCAATAAACTCTCCATAACTCCATATAATATACTACCTCCGTCCCTCTAAGTTTGGAACAAAGGAGTGTGGTGTGGTTTTTAAAAAAAGGTAGAATTTTGTGGTTGGTATTGAATTGATGAAGTGTGAATAAAGTAAGAATGAATTCTAACCATTCAAATATTACCAAATATGGTATGAGACAAACTTAGTGGGATGGACGAAAAAGGTAAAACGGGACAAACTTAGGGGGACGGAGGGGGTATTAGGAAAAAAAAATTAGCCCTCTTAATTGCCCCCTATAAAAATAACTAAATGCCCCCAGCCCCCACGTATCTAATATTCTAATCCACCCAAGTACCCAACTCTTAGTGCAGTCAGTCCAAATAAAAAAATACTCCGTAACACAATAGCCTCTGCATTGCAATACCACAGGTTACTCACGTATTAACTAAATAACTACGTAGTGTTGAGTAATTAAATTGAGCATTTGACTATTGATTATTGTTTTTTGTATAATTTTTACTACGTATCTGTTAAAGTGTTATATAAATTGCTCAATATATAAGACCAAAACATAAACATAGTGTAAAAATGAGATTAAAATACTAATAATCTAAGCTATTCGTGAACTTTATCATTATTTTAGTCCTATTTAGGGTTTTCTCGTGTTATTGTGCATTTCTACTAAACTATTAAAAATAGGACAGATTTTTTAAAGTTCATCAATATTCACTTGATAAAGAGAAAAAAGAGAACATTAGTTATCAAAAAATAAAGGAAAAATTCCTGATATAGGACTAAAAACATTTGGGAATTTGAAAATAGGTCTGCCATGTTTTTATTCTCTAAAATGTTTATATTGTCATTTTAAAAGTCTGGTGCTGCCAAAACATGTCATTAATTACTCCTATTTTGGAAATAAAAACATGATAGTTCTATTTTGAAATATACAAACATTTGTAGCCCTATTTAAGGTAATCTCCCATAAACTAATTAATTCTTTTTTATCAGGTTTATGGACAGATTTATGAAAAAAAAAACACCATCTTCAACATTGGGCAAAAGATCTAATAGTGATTAAGTACTTCATTATTACAAATTTTTGTAATTGTGATTAAGTACTTTATTATTACAAATTTTTGCTCTTCGGATATATCTTATTAAGTGCGTAGTACTGGAGGAAGCAGTTCAGCCTAACTGGTCTCAGGTTCGAACTCAATGGAGTGAGTAAAAAAAACAAGTGTGTAGTACTTTTTTCATCATGCTTAACATTTTCTATCTTTATTTAATTTTGCCCCCAATACTTCCGTTTCCTGGATCCACCACTGAAGGAGATCATTCCTGACAAGTGTAAGGTCATTGTGAAGTCTAACAGGGTGGTACTCTCCTTGCTAAAAGCTTCTAAAGGGAGTTGACTGGATTTGCACTACAAAGATGATAAGTTTAAGCCAAGTGTGGACAAAGAGAAGGATCCCATGACCGGAATAGTGGATTTGATGAAGAATACGCACGAGGATGGCGATGATGATATGAAACACACCATTGCAAAAGCCTGCTCAGATTTTAGATCTGGAAGAGTTGTTGATCCGCTCAAAGGTGGTTACCCATGAAAAAAAGCAATGGTTATATATCGCTTAATTTGAACTGTGAGAGTTTTTTGGTGTCCTAAGGTTTTGTGGAACTTGAAGCATCTGATGATGTCGTTCGCAAGTTGTTTTTCAGCACCATCCTGGCCCGGCTAAAAAATGGTTCGACCTATTGTGGCATGGAACCATCAACACTTTTGTGAAACTGCCCAAATTGTTTCTCGCAAAAGTTGCCCCTAGCGCCACCCCGAAGCAACACTTCAGCCATCTCACCAATGTCCGCCAAGGGCTAAGGGATTCCCTTTCAAAATTTCTCACAAGGTGGAGGAACGAGACATTGAAGGCTGATCAGTTGACTAAGACACTCTCTTTACCAATGCACTATAGGGCAAGGAGATGTATTGGGATCTGAAGAAAGATCCGAACACTAGTTATCCCATACTACTACCTAGGGCCCTGAGGCACGCCGCCATCGAGGAGGAAATCATATTGAGGGACCAGATCCCCTTGGTAGCACCCCTTCGATGCTGCCTCAAATCAAAGGAGGAAGCGGCCAGTTAGTGTGCGATTTACCCCACCCTCTCTCCCAATCGCTCAAATATACCATGGGGTTTGAAGCCAAGGACTTGTGCTTCCCCCAAGCGACAAGGATGAAGACATGAGCGTTGGGGATTCCTAGAGCCAATATAATAGGCGAAAAAGCATAACACAAATGGGTGCAAGGCCCTCAGGATGGCCATTGAAGACCTTGTCCAGAGGGGTACCTCAGAAAATATTTGAAGGATCCTGAGCCCCACAAAAAAACGCACAAGGGATGGGCGGCATGAAGCCGAGCCCAAGGAGGTGAGCTATAACAGGATGGATGAACCGTGACACCGCACCCGAACGTTTTTGAAATTCAATTTAAAATTCAAAGTTTATGTATTAATTTCCCTATTATCGAACAATTGTAAAACGATTAATGTTTTACGTAATGCATGATTGATCATACTACCGTTTGGGCTCGTATTATAGTGATGGGCTTTCAAATACTTAATTGGACTATCTTATTAGATATAAAATCCCAACACTATGTAAGGAAGGTCGGACATCCCAAGTGTTATTTTGGGCCCAACCTTCTAAAAATAGTAAGTATTCAAGAATGGCGTCCTAGGCCCATTCGAGGGTAACTCTCATGGCTTATAGACCAAGAATATAAATGCAAAAGTCACAAATAAGTGATTAGAGAAGAATACAAACTCCTATGGTCCCACTTTTGATATTATTGAGCTAGATAATGAGAGTATAATTTTCTTCTATAATTATACATCATATAAATTGTTGGGTTTATCCTACACATATTAGGGATCAATAATATGATGTAGAAGGTTGACTTAGTCTAAATAAATTAAAATGAGTACAAAAAGACATCTCATGACAAAAGATAAAACAATAGGATCCATTCTTTTATTTTTGGAAGTAATGGTAGATATTTTGCTCCCAAAATAATTAAGGAATACAAAGGTGTGTTCCACACCTTCCCATCTCCTGCAAAACAAGTAAAAATGTTAGAAAAAGGATAAGGGGCGGACATAGTCAACTTGGGGGCTGAACTTGACAAAAGAAATAGGGCCGTCTAATGAATTTGGAGGCCCCAGTTCCAAATGGCAAATTGAGGCCCCTAAAACTAAAACAAAATACAAATTTTAACAATGGAATACATATAGACTAGATAGTTCAATGAAACATAAGTTTTGTGATGTTTAAAATATAAAAGTTATATAGCTTTTGGAATCTTGAATAATACATGACATCAGAAAAATCAATTTATAACTAATTAATACATGAATCTAAAAGTTATAACTAATTTTTTGGAGGCCCCCTATAAGAGTGGGCCCTGGTTCAAAGCACCTATTGCACTTCCTAAAAGACAGCCCTGAAAAGAAACCAAAGAGGGGAGACCCACCTTGTCAATTTCCGCACAAAATGGGTGTGTGGTTTGTCTCCCTCCATAATGAGAGTTATACTCATCCAATTGGAGTGGTTGAGATGTCGTTGGATAGCTCTTGAAGTCTACATTCATTATTGCTTCATTTCTGGAGAATAAGAGAGAGTTAGATAAACAAAAAACGAGGTAGAGTGAACTGCCGCATACAAACTCGAGCAGTTGGAGTGTTGGTATTGTTTGCTTCATATATCGAGCTAAGCTCATCCAAATAAGACGTGTAAGGTTTCTACGGAAAGCTCTCAAGATAAGGAATCCGTCAAGGTGCATTTTGCAGAAATCGGAGCAGCTTAAGGCTTCCAAATCATCGAATGAAAACACAAACGCGCAGAAATGAATTTGCTTCTCTAAAGTGAGTTTGAATCCAAAACCTTTCTTTTCATTTTCCAAATGATATGAACGATTGGTGGAACTATTATACACTATTCCAAGTGTATAATGTGTTCTTATTAGGTTACCTTATTTATGTAAAGGTTAGATACTAACCTTGAACAAACCTTGAAAAGTTAGGAAACGAATTCGCCGGAAAACACTCATTCTAGGGGCTGTTTGCATACCATCGGTTAGGAGTTGAGCTAGCACCTTGAGGAGGATGTCTAACACTCATTTCTAAACAAGGAATCAATTATCAAACTTCCTTGACCGTGTTTGAAAATTAAGAGTATTTCAAATGAATAAAACTTAATTTATCAATTTTATAAATTAGACATTTTCGTATATTTCATTAAAAAAAATTAATGAATGTTCATTGAATTCTTCCAAATAATAACTGCAAGCACATCAGTTGTTTATTTACTTTTGAAACGTTAGACATTATTATTATTATTAGAATTCATTGTTTAATAATGCGCTTTTGAACTATGAGTGACTGTTGGAGTCCTAATCTTCTCAACATGGGTGTAAAGTTAATGGCTCAACGTTAAACTCATTTAATATAGGAACGTTATCATGTGAGAAGCAACATTCGGTACTACTAGTATATATATGTACTGTGTGTTCGGCAAGGGGCTTCTAGGGGTGACAACGTATTAACTTGAGCTAAAACTCCCTCACACAAAATTACTCGGTTGGATTAATATTATTTCTTACTCTCGTTGTTCTGTTACCGGCTTACACTGAAGAGCTCATTTTATCTTGGGGAAAGGTTTTCGCTAGTCAGAAATACTTTCTTGATGACAGTGTCTAACACGTCTCGAGCTATATTATTATTTCTAAACGCTTTTTTGCAGGTTTATCCGGTGAATTCCACCAACAATCTCAAGAAAATATTTAGCGTCGGATATGCCTGCACGCATGATCTCACAAGGCGTTATCGTTGCACTCATCACGGCTATGTTATCTTTGCATGTGTGTTGCGATTTGGACTGGTATTTGGATATATCGTTATGTATAATGTTTACTCTCTTCACTTTCCTACTTACAATAAGTCATACTTTAACACCACTTTTTAAGAAAAATGTTGTTCTTTTATTTAATGGTAAAATGACAACTATGAAAACAACCCACTAAAATTAATTTTAAACTTGACTTGTAGTGATGATAATTTTATTGTGGTTGTTCTCAAAGTTGTAAAATTAATGATGTGAATGAGTGGGTGGTAGACTCCGGGGCTACCAAGCATTTTTGTGAAAACAAAAATGCTTTTACTTCCTATACTATTATAGGAGATGGTGAAGAGCTCGTGTACCTAGCGGACTCTAAAACCGTTAAGGTGCATGGGAAGGGGAAAGTTCTTTTGAAGCTCACATCGGGAAAAACTTTATCACTAAATGATGTGCTGCATGTGCCCGAGATTTGGACTCATTTGGTTTCCGTTTCTTACTTGGGAAAAGTTGGGTTAAAGTTTCTTTTGGTTGTGACAATTTTGCTATGACCAAAAATGACGTTCTTGTACGATATGGCTATTGTAAGAATGAACTATTTGTGCAGCGCTTAGTATCTCTGGATTATTGCATGATGATGCTTCTGTTTATTTAATTGACTCTTACGATGTGTGGCATGCTAGACTAGGACATGCAAGTAACTCTTATATTAAAATGCTAAATGATTGTGGTTTGATTTCTTTTAAAAATAAAATGACACTAGAAAGATATGATGAACGCTCTTTTAATAAGTTCTGGTGCTCTTTTAATCTTTGGGAGGAGACTATTCGTTTTGCATGTCACTTACAAAATAGATTTCCTTATAAGCACAATAAGAAAACCTCTTATGAATTGTGGAAAGGTTTTGAGCCTAATTTGAAATATTTGAAAGTGTGGGGGTATTTAGCTAAGGTCTTATTGTATGATCCTAAAAAGGGGAAAATTGATTCTAAGACTTCTGATTGCATGTTTATTGGTTATGCTGAATCTAGTGCTGCTTATAGATTCCATGTTTTGCAAAGTGATGTGCTTGAATGTGATAAAATTGTTAAAACAAAAATTGTTTCCCAAGTCAATTTTTTTATTTATTTTTTTATCCAAGTTATTTATGATTGTTATAAACATCAAATACTTAAATGTGAAAGGTGAGTTGAAAGACTTTTTCTATTTCCTTGACAAATGGTAGCACAAAAATTAAATCAGCAGGGAACCAGTCATTCAATCGCTTGAGTGGAAGCATTTCCCGCTCAAATGTATACGCCATTTCAGCCGCACGATCAAGTAATAGATCTGTGGCTCTGCATTTCTTTCTCTACCCATTTATAGATCATTCTACTCTCTCTATCCAGAACGATCCTTCATCGTAGTTATTCTGAATTCACTAGCTCAAAACCACGCACCATCCACTCAATCGTCCTTGCATTTCCTTCTATGCCCATTTTTCAGATCTTTCTACTTTCTCTCTATTGGAAGCAGTCATATCGTAAAGGGAAATCCTATGAGAGGGATTACATGCAGAAAACAAGGCAAGGGAAATCCTAGAAAATCACTTCCTAAAATAGATTAAATAATAAAGGTATTAAAATCAAATCATAATAAACTTAATCAAGCAAATCAATGAACTATTACTCCTCATTATTCTATTTGATTGCTCTGTTTATCTTTCCATAACTAGTATAGTACCCGTGCGATGCACGGGCTGATAATTTATAAAATTGTAATTACCGATGGTCTAAAAAGTTTCATACTATATATTTTGATTTAATTACACTTAAACAAATCATGAATTTATAGGTGATGAAAAATAATGATATACGACATTTGTTCATCGTACTAATATTCACTATAAATTCGAAATGGAAATCAACAGTTACAATTAATCAATTTTTATTATTAGAGCATCCCCAATGTGCACTGTTTAGTCTAAGAAAAAAACGCCACCTCATTAATAATAGACATTGTGTATTTATTATGCCCTCCAATGCATGCACTCTTTAATTACATTTTGCTGAGTTGGCAAAAAAAATAGTAGACACGGTGAAGGGGGCTTTCTAAGTGTAGAAAGCATTCTACACAGGCTGACTCGACAATTTTCACGAAAAAAAAGCGCCAAAGTCGAAAAAATAGGGGGAAACGAAAACTCTTCTTTCACGATGTAGATAAAACCCTCATTTTGGAGAGTTTTTTTTCCTCAAATTGCTGAAGACTGAAGCGGCCGTGAACTCTGCGCGCTCGAAGGTTGGCTATTCAGGTATGTCAACTTTTATCATCCTCTATTTTATGGAAGAAAGAAGCGAATTCCAAGTATTTGGAGTAGTAAAGTTCTTTACGTGCTTTGATTCGTCGTTCCCTGTTGAGTATTTCATATTCAATTTAATACGAGAGGGTAGAATACAGCAGATAGAAGAGTTAATCCGAAATCATGAAGCTTGGGCTTATTAAATCAGAAAAGAAATATCACAATTGACGGTGGATTATGCAAGGCTAGTGCATATTTTTGAATTTCTAGAATCATTTAGGTTGCTGGAATTGATTGGGTTGCTGATATGTAATTTTACAGTTAGAGTTAACAGTGACCAATGGTTCCTCATAGCTAAAACATACGAAGTATAATTTTTTTTTACCAAAGGAGTTTAATTTTTTCACCAAAGGGGTTGCTCTTTGTCTTATTCATGCAGACATGTCATTTCTTTTGACCAAAGAAGTTTAATTTTTATGATTTCTTTATGTATGTATTAGCTAGAACAAATAAGTGTGTCTTACACACTGTAATAGTGTAATCACTTTAAGCATTTCTGGAGGTGCACTATATAGAATATATGAGTCTAATGGATGCATCAATTTTTTGAAGTTATTAGACTCAACTAATTATCAAGCGCATTTGAAAGAGCCAACTGTTATTTCTAGTTCAGCAATGTATTGAAGTTTACGAACCCTTGATCTCTGCCTAGGGTGCCTCTTCAATGGCATTGAGCCACTATCATCACCTGCTAGATCAATAAAATATATTTAGAGCCCATTTGAAGTTGTGTTTTCCCTTACATTAACTCCCCTTTTTTTCCCTTATAGGTCTGAGGTTTAGATAAAATGTCTTAATAGACAACATACCTTTGAAGCTCCAAACAAAATAGTCATCCTTTATAGATAAAATGTCTGCTGGTATTAAATTCAGTTCTAAAAATTGGTTTGTGATAGAATTGCTTTTGCCTTTGTTTAATATTGACCTGTTTTTCACATTATTATTCTAACTTTACGGTGCCACATGATATGACTATATGTGCTTCTAGACTAGGATAGCAGGGCATGTGATAAATATAACTACTTAATCTTTCTCTTACTAGTTATATCAGATTTCATTAATTAGAATGCTTGTCTGAGATATGCAACTATTTAAATTAGTTGGCAGAACTACATAATTACCCAGAAAACCTTTTTCCTTCCCTAAAGCTCCATCTATGTGTCTATCTTGTTTTTGTAATTTATTTGACATTCCTTGATATCTATTAAGTTCAACATTTGAGTCTAAATGATGCACTAGGTGGACGGAACATACAAGGCAACAAAGCATGGATCATGAGTTTGACCCATTCCAAAGCTCCCAAAATCCCACCCTTGTTAACTACACAAGTCAAGCACCAAACCAGTTTAGTTCTATCAGCCCCCAGTTCCAGCCCACATATCAGTTTAACCCAATCAGTGGTTCTTGTTCTCCTTATACCAACTTATCTTATGGACCTCCCTTCTCGTTCCAAAATCATTTGAGCACTCCCGTTTTTGGTAGTGGAACCAGTGAAACTCCTAGGGCATCCGGAGGCGGGAGAAAGAAACATAAGGATGTCAACAGTTCTCAAGGTTCAACTAAAAAAAGAGAAGATTGGAGTTCAGAAGAAGATATCGCATTAACCAACGCGTGGTTACGTATTTCTATGGATGCGGATGTTGGTAATAATCAGAAAAGTACAGCAATGTGGGAGAGGATTTTACAAGTCTGGAGGGACAACATGGGGGAGAGGTGCAATAAGCCTAGAAATAATAATAGCCTACAATGCCGTTGGCAAAAAATACAGAAGGCGGTTAATAAATTTCATGCCATTTATGAGAAACTTGAAAGGCATCCCCAAAGTGGCTTGAACACAGATGACATGGTAAGTATTACTTTCATACCTTAATATTCACTAATATATACAAAATCACAAGTACTTTGTAGTGTCACTATGTGCTTCTTTTCATTTCAGAAAAAAAGGCGCTGGGAATGTACGAGAAAGTCTTCAGTGATAAAAAGATAAAAGAATTCAAGTATATTCATTGCTGGGAGCTTTTGATAACGAACCCGAAGTGGTGTACAAGTCAGCTGACAAAGGCTTCTGGATTAAATAAAAGCGCTTCAGATAACAAAACCGCAGCAGAAGTATGTGATACCTCACCAATTCCAGAAAAGCATGGACTGGAATCTGAGCAAATCAAAAGTGATGGAATTGTACGTCCTCTGGGAAGGAAAAGTTGCAAAGACAGAAAAAGAAAGCTGAATTCTGAAAACGGAGTGATTGAAATACTGAATAAAATACAGTGTTCGTTTGACAAGCAAATAGAATTTAATAAGGTGGAGTTGGAGATGAAGAAGGAAAACCAAATGAAAGAGTATGCATTTAGGGAGGAACTTATGAAAAAGGAGATAGAGCTAAAAGAGCACAACCGGAAACTGAGGGAAGAAGCACAATTAATGAAGGAGGAGCAGGAAATGAAGAAGAAGGAGAAGGAAATGCGGCAGAGAAGAGTTGATCAAGACCGCGTTATGAGCATAGACTTGAGTAGGCTTCCACCGAGTACACGAGCCACATATGAAATCTTGCAAGCTCAAATACTGAAGGAATGGGAAATTGGGAGCACTTCTGGAATCTAAATATATTGATTATTTATTAAGAAGATTTATGTGTCTACGCAAGACATATTTTTAGGAGTTTTTCCAAATTATGCATCCCAAACTATAGGTTTATTTGCTTTATTTGTTGCTTCAAATGAATACATTTGTCATTTGTTTCATGGTTGAATTCTTTTATAAAGATTAATTAGCCAACTTCTGATACTAGTGGGGCATGGTTTTATATAGTTGCTAACACTCTAGTAGATTTGATGTCAACCAGGTGTCACTATTAAAGATGGCGTAGAATTTCCATTCTGCCAGTATTGTTTTGTTTAAAATGATATATTTCTCTTATAATAGGTGAGCAGTTTTCAACATGTGAGAGGGATAAACATCTGATTACAGTCATATTGATTCAGAAAGACAAAATTAAGCATCTCTATATATTCTGCCTTGTAATTGATGTGAAGATTTCAGATCAAACTATAATGTAATTGAAAACCGTATACTGTGAAGATTTCACTATAAAGTAATAATGTTCACAAAATGAAAAAATAGAACTGCATATCCTATCACTAATAGCATATCCGATCACTACTATAAAGCAAACAAAATTCTTAGCCTTCATAAATTTGACCACCATAAACATCCCACAAGTGATTGATGAGATCCTTCTTCAAATCCATATGGAGCCACTTATCTTGTATATGTTTTGTTCGGTTGATCATCATTGACATAACTAAGGTGAAATCACGCTCTAAAGTAACACCATCACCATGTTCTTCTCCTTCGGCTTGCCAATCTTCAGGATCAATGTCTTGACTACGCTCACACTCAATTATCATGTTATGTAATATGATGCATGTCTTCATTATCTTTCCCAAGTCTTTAGCACTCCAAAGACGAGCAGGGCCTTTAATGATATGCCATCGACTTTGTAGCACACCAAATGCTCGTTCTACATCTTTTCTCACAGCTTCTTGTTGTTTTGCAAACAGTTTTTCTTTCACTGATGAAGGTTGGGATATTGTTTGGATTAGAGTAGCATATTGTGGGTATATTCCATCAGCTAAATAATAACCCATATCATATTCATTACCTTGCACTATAAATTTACATGGTGGAGCAACACCATTAATAATATCATCGAATAAAGGAGACCTGTCTAAAACAGTAACATCATTATTACTACTTTCCAAGTCTGTGTCTATTTCGATGTTTTTTTGTAGTGTAATGTTATAAAGTTTATACTTAACCTACACATAATTTATAAATGACATAAATAAATAGTAGCATCTTGTCAAAAAAAATAGTAGCAGTGAAGCCATTAAAATAGAGTAGCAATGAGTAGCAGTGACGTGCATGTCTCTGCCTTTGATAGAAATCCAATGAATAATATTTCCAACTTTCACAAACCCTCTAGAAAATCCAATGATTATTTTCTCCCTATAATTAGTTTTTGCCGTCATCTTTAATAAAGTTAAGAGTTTGGTTGGAATGGCAGACACATGACAAAGATAAGAATTACCGAAAAGAGGAGAACCAAAGAAGCAATCAAGCAATAGAGAAAGCAGATGCAATTGGATCTTCTATGGCTACGGAGAAGACAAGCGTATAGGATATTTTTGTACGTGAAACCTAGAAGCCGTTAAACATATGGCTGAATTAGTTTTATTTTAATATATAATATATTGCACGTGTACAACTTTCTTGTGCCTAGGACTTTATGCATTGGAAACTAATTCTGGGCCTCAATGTCTACTTATTCCACATCGTGTGATGTGGATTAGAAACCCTATCACTTATTTGACAATTGGCAAATTTTACTTGGACTAAACATGAGTGCATTGGGGATGCTCTTAGTGAATATAATATTAGGAGAATCACGTGGTAGGTTACATTTCCAGTTTATAATTTAGGAAGTGTTTGTGTTCACTTCAACTATAGAGAACTTATTTATTTTAAAGATTATATGAAAGGTGTTTAATACGGAGTAATGAATTTTGATAGTTTTTGAAAAGAAAGATAATAAAAAAACTAAAATTACTCCGTATGATGTTTGGTTCAAATTTTCTTGTATAATACCAAAGGTGAAGCACTTTTTTTTTATCGTACAAAGGTGAAGCACTTTAAAAACAGCAATCTCTCATCTTTCAGCCTTGGCTTTTGAAAACTAATCTTAAGAATTTTTAAAACTGACTTATTTGTTTACCTCCCCGGCTTGCATGTTAGATTAAAAATGGTAATATTCAATTTTTCAATAATAAGGATGTTTTTTTGGACTGAAATTTGCTGATCTGATCTGGTCTGATCTCTGTGTATTTTATAACTACGGAAGTTTGGTCTGGTCTGATCTGGTACTGAAAACAGTCCAAAAGAAAACATCCTAATCATAAAAAGATTACTTGCAACTTATCCGCACCAAATGTTGGGCATTCTATGGCCAGCCATCGACGATTAACAAATTTATTTAAATTATTATTATGTTATCGATTGTTAATTAATTCTTCAATTGGTTAAACTTCTAAATCTTCAATTGAAAGTGCACAATATTACCACATTTATGTACAGTGGAAGTTACTCTATTTCACGATTTTGAAGTCATATTTTATCCCATTGTAAACAATAAATTAGAAATTGCAAATTATTTCTCTAATATAGTTTTCTAAATTCAGCAAAATGATGTATTCAAATTCACGATTTTGAAGTCATATTCTATGTTCTGAGGGGACGTCACTATTTTCATCTGGTTAAAGAATTCTACAGATTATGATGACTATAATTTTAAAACTTCCTAATAGTCTAATAATAATGCAAAGACATCAATCACATCATAACTCAATAGCCAACGGTAGAAGAGTTTTTTCACTTCTATAATTGGATTGTCACTTCTCTTGAACCAACACGTTTATTTGTATAATCATGGAAAAACATAAGTTCTCCATAAAATTGAAGTTGGAGAAACAAACGGCTAATTTGCTGAAACTAAGCAAATAAAAAACAAATATAAAATTACTATACTCCGTATTACGAAGTATATGCTACGTAGTATATGCATGTGAAAACAAATTAAAGAAAAATTATGTAAACGTAACGTACCAAATCACAAAAAACAAACAATCAAATAATAGTCAAATTAAAGTGAGAAATGAAATTACGAATTCACAATTAAGCCACCCAAAAATTAAATGGTGTAATAATAATAGAAAATATCCTCAATAAAAAAGAGCAAGAATTCCAAATAGCTACATGTTCCAGTGTGCTCAAGGTCTTCCAGTAGTTAACTTCATGCATGAAGAAACCATACATAATAATGCTTTAATTACTTTTCGCCTGTATTTATTACAATTCATTTTCAATGTCAGATAAACTCTATGCTTCACCTTGTTTTTAATTTTAGAGAACTTTGAACATACTTTACGGAGTATTACTTTTGGAATCCATATACAAATCAAAGTAAAAGAATAAAAGATGATAATGGGATAGATAGATAAAGTAAAAAAGTTTCGGTTGAGCATCACAATATTATATTCATAAATATCATAAACTTAAACAAAGAATAAGCTTGCAAAATGCTACAAATGACGAAATTGTAAGATGAACAACGGAACCCCAAACATCACCTTAAAGAGAGATATTACCCTAAAAAAGTTTGCAAATTCCAAAATAGGACTTCCATGTTTTTATTCCCAAAATAGGACTAATTATTGTCATGTTTTGGCAGTAACAGACTTCAAACATGACAGTATTTTCCAAATTTGGCAGTAATTAATCCTATTTTGGGAATAAAAATATGGCAGTCCTATTTTGGAATTTTCAAACTTTCTCTCCAAAAGATGAAGCACTTAAATATAGCCCCCAAGATTATTAAACAGGTTCATTTTTTAATGGTTGATTCGATATTTTATTGCCCCATAGTGGCCCATGAAAGATTCTGCTTTGAGTTACATCATACTGCTTCAACTCCTCCTCACTGATTTCCCCGACCTAAACCGGCGGCAGAAGAGACTATGATCGGAGGATGACCCAAAAAGGGCAGAAGTCCCATAAAATTAAAAATGTTAGAATACAGCCTTCCTGACGTCCATAATGGATAACAATGAATATAGCAGCAATATATAGTGCATAAAGCTGAGATGTGAATAGATTAGTTCGTGAATGAGCCGAACAGATCATTAAATAGATTCATTAGATAATGTTGTTTGCATTGGAATAAGAAAGGTCATCCTCCAAAGGTCATGCGCCGTTCTCTATTTGCATTGTTAAAAGAGTAGTGGCATTAATTACTCTACAGCCGTATCACCCAAAATGCTATTCCCAAAATGCTACAGTATTCCGCCCAAAATCTTCCCCCACTATTTTGTTATTATATATATATAGATATTATATTGTAGCATGCATCAGATTAACCGTCATTGTGAAACGGGAACCTCCATTTCGGGTGCACTATTACAAGCTGACATTGAGCTTTTTGAATCTTTTGATCACTCTCTGGATCTGATTCCTATGGATGATGTTCAAAGCTCTGAATGTACTACTCTTGAGTCTGATGGGTTTGAAAATCTTAAAGAATTCTTTCAGGCCACACTAACAAATGGGGTAGACACACTCTCTCATTTTCTGCTTTTCGAATTTGAGAGACTCCTTGTCTCTGCTTTGGGAAATCAAGATATTTTGACTTTGAGGCCCGCGAGTGAAGAAAAATTTTCTAAAACGGAGACAATATCGGGGCAAGCTAGTCAGATCAAAGAGTCAAGTGAATTAGGTATCACCAGTGGGCATGCAGATTTTGATTAGTATTATTCGAATCCGCTTCATACAGAAAATAATTATGCTTTTGATTGTGAGGGAGCTTCTGGAGGACAGTGTTCTACACATTCGGGGGATGAATTCATGGGTCATGTCTCAGAGAATGAGAAAATGACTCCTTTTTCGACAATGGAGGATCTTTGGGATTCTGATGCAAATGGGGTTATTTGTCAAAAAAAATTACTGGTCACACGAAATAATTGTTTCGCCACACAGAACATGAATACCCAAAAGAGAATGAACAAAAATAAAAATCAGCGCTCACACCTTATGAGAACTACATCTCAAACACGTGCAGAGCTTTAAAAGTTTGATCAAGGGCAAAGGAGTAATAGGAGGGAATCGTTTCTAATCTTCATGTTAGTTTATGTTTTTTACTTTCCGTGTTTTGATGTAATTTTTATTGTTTTTCTTAATAAAATTCCTTTAAAAAAAGGTAATTGGCCTTAAATACCCTTTGTTTAAAGAAGTCTTAATTATCTAAAACTACATATTTTTTTTTGTATTTTTTGATCCTTAATTGATAAGAACTTTCTTTGAGTGCACCTTGTCTATGATATACACCTACTTGGGGCAGAGGCTTCTGGTGGAGGGCATTAAGCTATGGCAGCTTCAAGTCTCCCAAATTTGGGGTTGGAGCATTTTGTGGAGGGCATTCGGCTATGGCAGCTTCAGGTCTCCCAAATTTGGGTTTGAAGCATTATTTGTAATAAAGATTGTTGATTGGAATGTTATTTGCATTTCTAAAATCTAAAACTTAATGTTATATCTGCTACTGGTTATATATATAATTACCTGTAGGTATTTCACTAAAAGGGAGGATCTGTTGGTCTCGGCTGAGGATGCCACTGTCGAGAGCGGTGCCAGCGGAGGAAGCAAAGACTGGTACGAGACGTGTGAGGAAGATGATGACCCGATGGTTTTGGATGACAGCAGCGGGAACAGCAGCCTGGAATGCTTTTGTCAAGAAGAACCGACAATGCAATAAAAATAACTGGAATTCTACCTTGAGACGTCATTATGCCGCACTTGAAAAGTTTAAAGGCAAGTTAGTGCAGAAAGATCTAAAGCATCCTCTGAGTTTATTGATTATGCTGAGCCTCTTCCTTTCCAATCCATGAAATTGCCGCAGTAGCCACATATCTAATTGCTGCATTATTCTCCAATTTTACTGCCAGTAGTGCATTGTGTAGCACCTCCCATGAAACATTGGAGGATATTCTGGTGATTGACTGCTCGCTGCTTGAGAAGGGCAATAGATTGATGGCAGATCCACGTTCAGATACAATAACTAGGCAACCTCTAACTAAATACTGAAGTTTGGAAAATGATATAATTGGTTAAATTAATTTGCATCACTTAATAAAATATACGTAGTATATACATAATACCTGTAACAAGATCATTCTTTGTTGAACAAGTTTTTATGCAAACATGTATTACATATTTTGTTTACCAACAATCTCAAAATTATAATTCCAAAAAACTATTCTACAATTTGTACTTCACCTATAGTACTCCACATATAAGGATGATCATGTTTTAATTCAGTGAAAACCGTTTCTTAAGGATAATTATCTTCTATGTTTCTCGGTATCTACTAAACAATAACTTTTGGTTTCTATTTTCGTGTAGAAATTTTCATTACACCAAGCTAAGCTTTTAAGTTATTTTGGAAAAAATGTGCTGCAGAAACACACAATGCTTTAGGGGTGGGGTTTAGGATTATTAATACCTATATATTTTTACCATGCAACTATATCCTCACTGGACACGACAAGTTTGAAATAGTTTCTGTAAAAAATGTATTCAAATGGCCCATCTTCTACAATTTTGAAATCATGTGAATGTTTTTACCCATTTTGTACTCTACAGTAATCATATGGACAATGATGCATTTGCATGAGCTAAATATAATAGATTAAATTACATCCCTCTTCTTAATCTGACACGCATTCTTGTGTGTCATTCTTGATTTGTGAATGTTTATTTAGTATTTCTTTATTCTACATCAATCGATAAATTCATTGTTTATAACTTGAAAGTGATTTACATTCCTGGTTATCATGATTTTCAACATGTTTTGTATTATTATGAACTATGAGACCTTTCTGAAGTTCCATGTATTTGCTATTTTTTTGGAACTGGCCAGAAATGAGAGACAGTTTATAGTTGTATACCAGAGGTGAACTTTGCAAAGGAATCGATATACAATATCATCTGGTTTTCTATATTCAAGCATTTGTTCGAGATGTAGCTGAGAAGATTTTCTCTCTGAATTGACATGATGTGGACAATTAAAATGGTAAGTAGGCTACTGGGCTGAATGTTGTTTTGTTAACAATTTTATGGAAAAATCATCTCATGGTCTAATGTCCATTCCTTGTTGTACACCTCTTTGGGCAAGATATCTGCATCATTTTAATAGGAATTGTTTCATGCTGCTTAGGACTATGTTTTTGTTGCGTGCTTAACTGGGCGGGAGTACTGCTGAGAAAATCTATTTGATTTTATATAATGATAGATGATGAATGATTACTCAATGTCTTGAATCCTGATAGACGACTACTCGCTAGAAGATATGAAAGGGACAAAAGAGGTAAAGTTTCCAAAATTAGTTGATGGGAAGTTGTCTCAAGAGCAAAGAGAAGAGTTCTATGGAAAGATGGAAGTTGTAATTTTGGTTGTGGATGTGTATTCATCAGAATATAATGAATTTGATTGCGAAGGTGTAATCATTTCTCCAGAAAGGCATGTCTTGAATGACATGTTCATGAATAACGTTCAAACTAGAGTTCAAATCGTTACTGCCAATAAAGAAAGATATGCTTGCACTGTTTTGGCATTGGATCCCACTTATGGCTTAGCCATTCTGAAAATTGGTGTATCAAACTCGACCGCACTCGCGTTTCCTTATGCTATGATTTCTGACCGGGATGATCTCAGAATTGGTGAAGAAATTTACCCTATTGGCCTTCCAGGGTATTTGTTCAATTCTTTTCCAATTGGGCACATTTCATATAGAAGCTTTGGCGAAGTACTAAAATTGTTGAAAAATCCCTTAAAAAAGTTGAAGCTATCATTGGAAAAAGGGAAAAATGAGGGAAGGGGTTCTCGGGATCGCAGTGCCTCCTTTGTTTGTTGTGCTGATGCCCTACATTTCCGTGATGTGCTTAAGAGTTCAGTTTCAGTTGTCCAAGTGAATAACGTGCATGGTGGTGCGCGGGAATGTCATTCTTTGACCGGCGAGGAGATATTATTGATATGTATCTTTTCATTTCCAATGATCAATGTTTTGGGATCCGTGTAGACTCCATCAGATTGTATGTTGCTTCACATCTGAGAGAGTAGTTAGTCAGTTAGTGTGTGGGATCCTCACGGTTTCAGTCGTTGGTTACTTTTGACTTTTAAAAATTGGCAATGATGTAATTACTCTATCAAATACTTCTTTGTGCTTCTTTTGTAAGTAACTGAATTCTCACCCGGGACATATATTAAGCAATAGCTTTTTTGAGTTAATCAACTCAATGGAACAAACGGGAGGATCACAAGTTCATTCCCGTTGATTAACTCGTTCATTCTGTTTGTTCCATTGAGTTTATTAACTCAAAAGAGCTATTGCTTAATATATGTCCCGTGTGAGATTTTAATTGATTACAAAAGAAGCACAAAGAAATAGTTGTCAAAGTAATTACATCATTGTCAATTTTTAAAAGTCAAAAGTAACCAACGCCTGAAACCGTGAGGATCACATACACTAACTACTCTCTCAGATGTGAAGCAACATACGATCTGATGGAGTTTACACGTATCTCAAAACATTGATCATTGGAAAGAAAAAGGTACATATCAATAATATGTACTCGCCGGTCAAAGAATGGCATCCCGCGCACCACCATGCACGTTATTCACTTGGACAAATGAAACTGAACTCTTAAGTACATCACTAAAATGTAGGTTATCAGCACAACAAACAGGGGAGGGGCACTGCGATCCCGAGAACCCCTTCCCTCATTTTTCTCTTTTTCCAATGATAGCTTCAACTTTTTCAAGGGATTTTTCAATGGTTTTAGTACTTCGCCAAAGCTTCTATATGGATATGAAATGTGCCCAATTGGAAAAGAATTAAACAAATACTCTGGATGGCCAATGGGGTAAATTTCTTCACCAATTCTGAGATTATACCGGTCAGAATTCATAGCATAAGGAAACGCGAGTGCGGTCGAGTTTGATACACCAATTTTCAGAATGGCTAAGCCATAAATGGGATCTAATGCCAAAACAGTGCAAGCATATCTTCCTTTAGCGGCAGTAACGATTTGAACTTTAGCTTGAACGTCATTCATGAGCATATTAGACTAGGTCAAGACATGCCCTTCTGGAGAAATGATTACATATGCACCTTCGCATTCAAATTCATTATATTATGATGAATACAGATTCATAGCCACAACAACAACTTCCATCTTTTTATAGAACTCTTCTCTTTGCTCTTATGACAACCACCCACCAACTACTTTTGAAAGATTTACCTCTTTTGCCCCTTCCATATCTTCCAGCAAGCTAGCGACTAACTGTCTATCAGGACTCAAGACATTAGTATTCAATAATCATCCATTATATAAAATCAAAAGGATTTCTCAGTAGCACTCCCGCTCAGATTAAGCACGCAACAAGAACATAGACCTAAGCATCAAGGAACAATTCCTATTAAAATGATGGAGATATCTCGCCTAAAGAGGTGTACAACAAAGAATGGACATTAGACCATGAAATGCTTTCTCTATAAAACTGTTATCAAACCAACTAAAAACAACATTCAGCCCAATAACCTACTTACCATTTTAATTTTCCACATCATTTCAATTCAAGGAGCAAATCTTGTCAAGTATATTTCGAACAAATGCTTGAAAATAGAAAACCAGATGATATTGTATCTCGATTCCTTTGCAAAGTTCACCTCTGCTATGCAACTATAAGCTGTCTCTCATTTCTGGTCAGTTCCAAAAAATAGCAAAATTCATGGAACTTCAGAAAGGTCTCATAGTTCATTATAATACAAAACATGTTGAAAACCATGATAACCAGGAATGTAAATCACTTTCAAGTTATAAACAATGTATTCAGCGATTGATGTGGAATAAAGAAATACTAAATAGACATTCACTCATTCACAAATCAAGAATGTGTGTCAGATTAAGAAGAGGGATGTAATTTTATCTATTATATTTAGCTCACACAAATGCATCATTGTCCATATGATTACAAAATGGATAAAATCATTCACATGATTTCAAAAATGTAGAAGATGGACCATTTGAATACATTTTTTGAAGAAACTATTTCAAACTTGTAGTGTCCAATGAGGATATAGTTGCATTGTAAAAATATATAGGTATTAATAATCCTAAACCCAACCCTACCTCTAAAGCACAATGCCTAAAGCATTGTGTGTTTCTGCAACACATTTTATCCAAAATAACTTAAAAGCTTAGCTTGGTGTAATGAAAATTTCTACACGAAAATAGAAACCAAAAGTTATTGTTTAGTAGATACCGAGAAACATAGAAGATAAGTATCCTTAAGAAGCGTTTTTCACTAAATTAAAACAGGATCATCCTTACATATGGAGTACTATAGGTGAAGTACAAATTAGAGAATAGCTTTTTGGAATTATAATTTCGAGATTGTTGATAAACAAAATACGTAATACATGTTTGCATAAAAACTTTTACAAGGGACTTTTTTGACAATGTGAGCTAACTCCAAAAACTCATCCTCTCTTCTCCTGAAAAATAAATGAAATACAACTCAATTTGATTAGAATAATGTATGAGAAATCAAAATTTGTATAAAAAGAACTTATAATAACTAATCAAGTGACAAGATCAGTATTATTTCTCTAAAAAAAAAAGACAAGATCAGTATTACTTTGCATTATACTTTCTATCTAAGAAGAATCATTGAACAAACAAAAAAGTTAACCGAAAAACTAAGCTCAACACAAAAACCCTTAATCTCCAACTACAAGGAAATCAAGATTGGATTGTTAAGTACTTCAGTGTCCCTTTTAAACGCAGGTGATATAAAGTTAAATATCAATCTAAGATTGCTATCTAAAGTCTTGTTTATTTACTCTTCTTTGATGCTGATAAAGAGTTTTTTTAACTGTTTTACTTTATGTTTACAGGGTGGTGAAGTTATTCAAAAATCCGAAAGATAATAATCATAGTATATTATGTGTGTTTACTCTTTATGACCATCTTGTGTTCTGTATTTCAGTTGTAAACTTGAAGTACTATACCCCAAATAGTTTTGTTAAAGATAAGGGGTCATCATGTCATTTTTCGGATGTGACCTTTTCCCCTTTAGATATCATTTTTGGTCCTTTTCGAACAATTTTAGGCTGGAGAAATACATTCAAATCCATAATATTATGTACACCAAAAACTGCCATCTCGTCTTTGTTCGGTCTTGTATTGGTGTGAGAGTTGAAATGTTAGGGTTGCCCCCCCCCCCCCCCAGAATTCAAAATTTCACCTGCAGTTAAGGCATCTTTTTAAAGGACAAAACCAAGGTATTTCAGCATGAAAATTTGAAAACTTAAGGTCGTAGAGGCACAAAACCATGTTATGCAATTTTAACACTGAAACATTTTGCACCGAAGTTTGGTTGAGGTTTTGATGGTTCAACCATTCAAACAAAGTTGTTTTAGGGTTTTAGATCCAACTCTTACAAAATCATATTTAACTTATAGAGAGAGTCATAAAGCAGTGTCAAAATAACTATCCAAAATGTTGAGGAGTATAAATATGTTTATATGAACCTTACACAAACAAATGCTCAGAGCCTATTTAAAAAAAAAGCCTATTTAAACACCTGTTTGCAGAACTTACTGCAATTTATTCAGTTTTTATGCTGAACTATGGCTATCAAATTACGTGAGCAAACTATTTTATTATACCATTTTCCAAATAGTTACGTAGTATAATATAATGCTAATGTGAGGCTCACGAAATGAAGGTCCACGAGACCTTTCTGAAGTTTCATATATTTGCTATTAACTAGGCTCGTAGGTTCAAGAATTCAATAATATTTGCTTACTCCAAATTTTTCATATTCAAATTTACCTTGTAGATATACATAACTGTGGGTTGAATCCCCAAAGCATAGAATTAAACAATTAGGATGTTTTTACTTGGATTGTTTTCAATCCAAGACCAGACTTAAACAGACCAGACTTGACTTCCGTAGTTATAAATTACACAGAGACCAGACGTTTACCAGACCAGACCAGTTTAGACCAGACCAGACTTAAATACACCAAACTTAAACAGACCAGACCAGACCAGCAAATTATAGTCCAAGTAAAAACATCCTTAAACCTATACAATAAATGCTTAAGCTTTGTGTGAGAAATATGTCTCAATGACTTGCTGCTCCTAGACCTTTTTCGTGAACAAGATGTTTTTGGGTGTAAAAAACTCAATGGTGCATTTAGATATTCCTCCAAATAAACACCGGCAAGTTTTAACACAATTGAGATCATAGAACAATTAAAATATAAACTCAAAAAAACTCAAATTTCATAACGAAACAATGTGTGTTCATTTCATCATATGAGTAGATTCTGCTATTTTCAGGTGGTGTTACTTTCTCTTTAATTATAACCTTTCGTCTTTGTGTAACAATCTTAGACTTGAAAAGGGGCTTCAAGAAGATATATTATTCATTCCGTAGAATTCCGCTAAAGCTCTATTTGGAGGCCTCATATTTGTTTGAAAACTGAAATGTTAGGGATGCCAAAAATTAAAATTTTCCATATCCAAATTTAGCACTCATGTTAAATCACAAGCCCAATGTTTTATAAAAGAACACAAAATGGAAAAAAGAAGACATTCTTGTACAACTGTATGTGTGTAACATAAAAAAGTAAAAAAAGAAAAACAGATCACAAAATATAAAAGAAGAAGCAGACAGTCCAAATGAAGAGTAACCCTGGATGAAGATAAAGTATAGGGTTATTTTGCCTGGAACTAAAGCAAGAAGATTAGCGATAAAGAGTATTAGTG